CCTTCATTTCATTTCCACACAGAATGACTTCTAATTCAACCTCTGCAGACAACTTTCCAACAAGTAACAGCTCTCTAACTCCACTACATATGCCCATTTACTTGCTAGGGAGTCAAGAACAGAATATTATCTGTTAAGATTTTCTGAACAATTTTATTGATGTTTCCTTTATTTTGTATTTATATATATTTATATATACATTCACATGTATCTATAATGGAAAGAGCTAAACATTTGTCTAAGGCACTTGGAACTGTGCACAGCAGAGTATCCTACAGTACTGTACAACTAGGCAGCACACATTTTTTGCTTGTTAAATAAAAACATCATAGAACAAGCATATATATGACCTCTGTGAAAAAAACATAATACATGTTCTATTTTTTTCAGATGACAATATCAGAATAAATTTGTGTGTGTGTATAGTTATATGCTACAGTACAGAAGCTGTAATTAATTCATAGCTTTTCCAGGTATTTACATTCACAGATATCAATACATGTGTGCAACATCAGACATTTCTAGCCATGTCTTTATAGTTACCATATTCGATCATTCTATGTCACACTGCTAAAATACAAGTAAATGCATTTGGTTTTTAATTAGGTAAAATGCTCACTGCATAATGCTCAGCACTGAGCAGTGCCCTGTCCCTAGTCAACCTCAGCTCTGCCACAGAAAACAGAAGTTCTTTGAAGTTTCTAGTCTGAGGTACAGTTGGGTCTATGAAACAGGGCATATTAACACTGCCATGATTTATTCAGAGTAAAAGTCGGTTGGACACAGTGTCCTTTTATAGGCCCAATCCAACCAGACCTATTCCATTCCATTCCATTCCATTCCATTCCATTCCATTCCATTCCATTCCATTCCATTCCATTCCATTCCGTTCTTTGAGCAATTGCTCTATAAAAAACTGGAAAGGAATAGGAACTTGTTCCATCTCCACACCCTTCCCACCCCTACTCACACAGAAGTCCACTGAAACAATCTATTGATATCTTTTTTTTTTGTTTGTTTAAAATCATACCAGCTAAAACAATTGTCCAAAACACAGTATTTCTTTAATTCCAAAATTTATACAAGTCTACAAATCAGTATACCACCACACAAAGTAGTGAAAGGAAAGAAGTTATGTTTGGCAACATTTTACTATATCATAACAATGATCAAATATGGTTAAATTTGCCATAGTATTGCAAGACTTTTTATATAAAGAATTAGGGATTGAACAAGAAGATACTGAGAATATCATTAATTTCTTTGTTCCTATCCAATGCAATATTTAGCTTCTAGAAAACAATGAAATATTGATGAAATGCTGTATCCAGTTCACATATGCTGTTTCCAATAAAATCTTGAAACAAGATGGGAGCACTGACAAAATGAATAAAGACCTTACTAATAATTACATTTAATAACTAGAATTCTGTCAAAATATTACAGAGAAATTTGTTTTTAGTCGATTCCTCCCTTTTTCTAGATAGATATATTTCATTTTTTTTCCCCAGATTTCTTTTAAACACAAACTTTGATCTGTTCTGGGGAATTTACTTTTTATTTTATCCTCAAATCTAGATAATTTGTCTTTTTATTTGATCCTCGGAATATCTAACATCAACCTACTAAACCTTTCAGCTTTTTGGGGTTTTTGTCCATCAAAAGCTAGATGCCAGCAGCAGGTATTGCACTGAGCTTTGTAGATAAAAATAATCACAATAATGGAGCTGAATGTGGGAGCTCCTAAAGGCAGGAGGAGAGTTTATTTTGTTTTTCACCCTGAGTACATCTGTATTTCAATTCACAGCAGCAGCATAGGCCTTGACTCCTTGAGATGCAAATAAAAAAAGATGATGTAAAAACAGTAAACAACAGAGTTCTGATACACTCAGCAGTGCAGCTGTATGCTTTGAGCTTGGTTTACATTCCCATTTCATGCATTAGTGGACATGTTAGGAGAAAGGTTCATACTGTCATCCCTGATGGACACAAGCAGGGCCCAACCAGAGCAGTGCCGGAATGCAGGCCTTGGGGCACCATGGCCATCACAGACCATCACAGACCATGTCAGGCCTTTCCCTTCAGCACACGCCTGGGCTCCAGGTGGCTCCCGAGCAGCTGGATTGGACACGCAGTTTTAATCTTCCGTTCTTATGAGGATACAAAATGGAGGCTCAGCCCATATTTATAACCAGGCAAAAAGCTGCTGAAAGTACTGGCCCACAGCACAGGGGCAGGGAGTGAAAGCCACTACAGCAAGGGGCATGCAGAGCCATGTGCAAACACTAAATCCAGACAATGGATGCAGACTTGCAGACCTGCAAGAGACTGTGAATGTGTGCAGTCATTCAGAGGCATGGCTCCTGGTCCTACACTGTTTCAAACCACTGCTTGTGAAATGTTCTTTGATTTAAATAATCCCTGCCATTTAGCTTTTTTGATTCTACACACATCACATTTTGAGGAATTTCTAATTTGGAACTGTAAGGACTAAGATATATTGCCTGAAAGCAGAGAGATATTCTAGAACCATTTCAGTTGGTTTTGTGTAGAATAAATTAGGATTTGCTTATGCACCTGCCCCCCATACCCATACAGCAACACGCTGTCATGCGATAAACATGGCCCAGGAGGTCAGTTCAAGAAACTGCCACTTCAGGCCACTCATTTTCTCCTGTGTGGATGTGGACATCTGAGTTGACATCTGACCTTGTGGACCACAGCTATTCATGTAAGGTTTCTCACATGCTCTAGATGATACTGAAACGAAATGTCCAACCTGACAGAAATTTACAGCTTGATCCCTTTTAGTCAGCTGCCCGTTCTATGTATTGTATGGGAAGTGCTATTCTTTTCTTTGCCATTTTTTACATCTCCTTTTAATTTCTTTCCACCAGGACTGCTCATTCAGGAGTTTCTCAGGTCTTATCCTGTTTTTTCCATGCAGACAGGCATGCAGCATCATGGCGAGTTAAGTACACAGCTTTCCAACAGGCTGTTGTAGCAACTTGAAGGTGCTTGGAATCATCAGTACAGAGAACCAGGAGATGAGCAGTAACTCTGCTGCAGGCAGGTAATAAGGTAAAGCAAACTTGCTTCACAGTGACATACCAAAGTCTCATTTTTTTATTGCGTGGGTAACACTTTACAGCTGTTGCTGTCCTGCCAGTTGATATTTAGAATATAAAAATAATATATACAATTCTAAGTCTGTGCATGAGTACAATACACAATGAATAGTTTATAGTTCTGTTTCTTCAAATATACTACATTTTTACATAAGTCCCAATAAAGGCAACTCTTTTTGTCCAGTTACATACATTTGCTTACGTAGCTTACTGAACTGCAGGCAAAAGAATGTATCTGATTATTTATCATGGAAGTATTAAGAAATTACACAAGAAATGAAAGAACAGCTCAGCATCTCCACCCAGGCTAGTATTCTGTCTCCAGCAATGGAGAATACTTTAAAACAAAGCAAAACAAAACAACTAACAAACACCAGGAGGAGAATAAGGAAAGCCTGAGAGATACCTCACCTACATATCCTCATGCCTTATGGCAAAATGCAGTTTGAGGAAGCCTGAGCCAGAAGTTGTATTCTCATCTTTGTGCCTTAGCTCTTAAAGGAGAAGGCAGCATGTTTCTTGCCGTCCATGTTCTCAGCCTGGTCTGGAGGAATGTCTTCTTGCAGAGTCACGTGGTTCTCTTCATCCTAAGAGCCCAATGAGTATTAGTTCACTTATGTAATCCTTACATACCCTGGCATGTCAATGGAACTGCTATCTTCTATAAAGTTTATGTGTCTGACCTGACCTTGGCCAAAGCTATTATACTCTGTACCCCAGCTGTATTTCTGCCTTGAATATCTTGTATACTTCCAACAGTTTGAAAGCAATTATAGCAGTACTGAGGTGTAGTTAATTGTTCCACCTGTTTCCTTTGAAGTGAAATATTGTGTTTCATACTTCAAAGTCAACAGAGTAAACCTTTATACGATTTTGGACACACATTTCCAAGTTTGGCAACAAAAAAAAGAAGCCTTACGCAGAACTATTTATTAAGTGCTGGTATAAGGTTTTAAGTTTGGTCTTCAAATTCTAAAAATAAAAATTAAGATTCTACCAAAATTGCTGACAAACCTTCACTCTAATGGCCTGATCATTTCTGTATGATTTAGTGCCAAAGAATACATTTTCACTGCTTCCTTGATGTCAAAGTGATATTTCTATATTTACGAAATGATGGGCCTTGCAGAAGCTGAACTGTTTCCTGCAAATGGAATCTTAATGCCTCTTATTGATTCCATTAAAAAAAGGAAGGTGCTTATTCTTTTCTTTGCTGTACATCTACAAGCATGTAGATGGCTATCTTATTTGATTATTGATATTTTTGGGTCATACTCTATTGGATTTTTACTAAAATACAAATGATCCTACCTAACAGACATTTAAATCTATTTTCTTTAAGGAAAAAAAAAAAAGTTTGTCAACTCATTTAAGATAATAGGATGGCAGCTGTTGGAAAGCACTCTCCTGTTACTTCAAGTGCTCTTTACTAAAATAATCCACCTCATTTATGCAAACCTAATCTTGCTGTAAATATCAGTAAAGAGGGAGATGTAATTTAAGCCACTAAATTGCCTTCCTGCCTTCAGGCTGACATCTAAATCAACAATCTTCAATTTTAGAAAATAAAAACATTCCACAAGAATCTACTGCAGGTTTTGAGGTAACAATCACATCTATGCAGACCTTTTATTGCCTGAAAAAGAAATACTTACACTTCATAATTAAAAACTAAGCAGGACACATAAAAGACAAAAATAAGTTGTAATATGTACACACATTAGAAAGGATAAATAGCATATATATTGTAATACTGCATTACATGTATGCATATGTGAATTCCATACCTCCTCCCACCCCCTCCCCTCCCCCCAAAATGTTGTGTACATAATTCAAAGGATAAATAAGTGCTAATATATGACAGAGAATTCCTTAGTGTAAACAACGCCACAGGCTTTTTAATAGGTTTAGGGCCAACTTACAAAAAGCATGTATTGCCTTTCACACTCCATACCATTTAATTTGAATAGCAGTCTTCACATATACAATTCCAAGATAGTATAAAAATTTATGGATCTAATAAGCATTCTTCACACTCAACAAAAACAGGCTGCAGATGCTCTAAGGATTTTCTATTAACTTTCACAAGACCACAGACTGAGACACACTGATTCATATGTGAGTCCTTCCTATAAGCAGTGCAAGGATTCTCACATGTAAAATGTCATATTAGCAATCACTGCTCCAACCTGCCGGTAAGGGCATTTGTGCCCCATTTCAATTCTGAATTTGGATCCACACTAACACGATGTCAAAGCTGTCACTATTGCCTGCCACAGGTGAGGATGATAGTGATCCCTCTGGTTTGAATGGCAAGTGACAGGTGGAAAGGAGTGTTTTTAAACACAAGTAATTTCATTGCATTTATAGCGTCAGGTGTCGTTTGCTCTCTGAATCCTGTTTACCTATTTCTGAGAATCCAGAGTACACCAACATTAAAAAATGAAAAATATATTACTTGTTCTGTATGAATGTTCAATGTATTTTCTTGAAGCATGCTCATCAGGATTTTTAAAAAAGATGTCTGAGTTATAATAGGACTAATTTCTGGCAACTGCATTTACTGGCACCAGAGAAAATTACAGTTCTTCACTAAAGTACTGATGACATGAGGACTTGTGGCTTTCTGTCTTTCTCAGACAGGCTGCAGCCACTAGAATCTACATGCACAGCTGCTCACACAGTTTTTTGTTTTTTTTTAAATGATTCTTCCCACTGGCCAAGTGCATCCCTAAACAGTGCCAACCATCCCACCATTCACTTTTGGCTGACAAGGGAAGTCCCCCTTCCCCTGCTCTCAGTCCTCCTCACGCTCCCCTCTTCAGTTTACCCCCAGTCACAATGCCATAAGGTCTGAGGAGTTCCTGGCCGTAGGCTCTCTAGTGATTGTCTTCTGCTCTTCTCGATGTGTCAAACTCTGATGAAGAAGACCATCAGCTTGTCTCTGTGGGCTGGCCACAGCACCATGCTCTGTCTTAGCATCGAGATGTATCTTTGTTAAAATAAACACTTCGTATGGCTTCTCCTCCTACTCAATTAATTTGTTCACTGATAAAGACGAGGGCCACATCCTTCATTAACTTCAGGGCAAGCTGCAAGATACGCTCACGCTCAGTCAAGTTCCAGTGCACTCTTGGGTCTTCAGGACACAATGATTTCCCCAAAGAAAATTGTTACATAGAACATGGGATGTGGTCATACAACTATGGACGATGAAACCTGAAATGATAAATCAATTAGAATTACATTACTGCAACTGACATACAGCTATGATGCGGCTCAGGCACTAATATGTGTCTGTCCACTTCATTAACCTGATATGCTATGGCCCCTAGCACAGCTTTGCTTGGGCCAACCACTGCTCTTCCAGACACTGCCTGGGCCAACAGGAAGACTGGACACAGCCAGGGACAGCAAGACACCCTCACTTGGTGGTGGTAGGGAAGAAGTCAGCTGTAGGAATCCAAGCTGTGCCGAGTCTGCTGGCCTCAGGAATGGACAACAACCTCCAAACTGCTTTGTTTAGCAGCACAGATTGAGCCACATTGCATCTGCCATTTGGAGAGATGCTGATGATAAACCAGAAAAGCTTTGCTGAGCTATAAAAATTAACTTTCTCTTTTTCAAACATTCTGCAAAATGAGGCTTTTAAAAAAAAAGATTTAAAGGATTTTTTTTTAAAGCAAGCAACAAATTTTATAGCACTGCAGAAGCTTTCTTTGCCAGCTGTGACAAATAAAGGCCCAAATACACCTCACTGTGTAAAATGGCCCCAGAGAAAAGAAACAAAAGGAAGCCCCACATTACCTCAGTAATATGGCACAGAACAGGAAAAGTGTTTTCAAATACAGGAGGTGTACACAAAAGGTGACATTCACAAGTATGCAGCTTATCTGCTACGAGTGGGTACCGTGCATTGCAAAAAAGACAGGTTTTTTCACTTGTGAAGAAGAGCAATATATATACTGTTTATATATATTGACTATATATAGCATTTCCATTAGAAGGGCTTTATAAACATCTACTAATATCCTCTTCCCAAGCTTTTCTTTATTTCTTATTTTTAGAAACTCCATTTCTTGGATTCTGTTACAGAACAACAGAAGGAATCAATCTAAATTTGTAGTAGAAGAACCATTCAGTTGACAGTTATTGTGCAGTAAATAATGAGCAATGAAAATCAGTGGCTTTTCTTTCCCAAGTTTAATATGAGATTTGAATAATTCAAAGATACTGTAAATACTGACTATAACAACAGAACTTTTTATAATGTGAAATAATATAACTGACTGTATGTTGTAAGAATTTTTTTGTCTATTAAGCGGCTTCTTTGTTGTCTCATTCTATCAAAGAGCTTCACAAATAAATCTTTGTTAACCAACCACCGGTGCAAGTCTGTACTATCTCAGTGATCATTCTTCAAACAAAAATTGTTTAGAAGATTTTAACTCCTTCTCTGGACAATGACTTTTGTCTATGGCCTTCATAAAACAAATCACGTTGTTGCTGTATCAATCCAAACGTAATGGCAAACTACATAATTTTAAATGAAAGGTCCAGGAGGAAACTGAATCTCCTTCTGCTCAAAAATGCAAATGACTTAAAAGATCTGCATTAATTTAGTTACCTAAATAGGCTTTTTCTAGTGTTGCTCTTTTTAGAGTTCTGTGCAGTGACTCCACAACACATTCAGTGAAAATAAAGGGTGCAGAGAGAATCATATATCCCTTGAGATCAAATTCCTCCAGGACTCTGAAGTATCTCTAACTGTATTTGCCATCATTTGGCCATGCCTATTTTTGATTCTATTTTCCAAGAACCGTCTCAAAAAAAGGTTTCACTTTTTAACTGATTTGTCACTCCACTGAGTATTTTCTTCAGCTTTCAAGAATCCAACTATAATCAGTCTCAACTGTTTTCAATTCCAGTGAAAAAATATCTCATTCTTTTTGTATGACTCATGCATATTTGTACTTACGTTTCTATAATGCAGTGCAACTTGGAAAATAAAACAACTTAAGCAAGGGGTGGCACTCCATCTCTTTCACCCAGATTTCAATTCCTAAATATTTTCCTTCTCTCCATTGTGATCCCCATTTTAAAAATATTATTTTTATAGTTCTGAATAAGATATACTAATTGAAGAGAAAATTTAAGAGAAAATGACACCAGAAACCAAATGAAAAGGTAGGGAACTGTATCTGAAAAGGACATTTTCTAATTGTCAGAATGTGATTTGAATTTTTATTGTGACATTATAGGATTCACATTCACCTGCTAGGACCTTAAGTTTGATTGAAATAGCGGGGCAACTATCTATCTGACAACTCTGTGTGAAAGACAGTAACACTATGCATGCGGTGTTGGCTGATCCTAACAGCAAGCTCTACTTCTGGTGGCAGTTTTCAGCCTTCAGAATTTCAAAAGATACAAACAGATGCCACAGGGATGGCAGAAACCTCCTCTCCCCTCCTAGGAATAGATCTGTCAAATTTGAAGTACTACTAAAAACCGGACACTTCAGAGTTCTCTACGCAATAGTGTTTCAAACAAAATCTTCGTGTTATCCAGTACAGAGAATAAAACAAGTCTGGATTAAAATATTACAAGTAGCAAACAAGGAATATTAGACTCTGTCTCATTCCCCAGAAAATGCTATCACAAGTTTAGGTGACTGCCCATAATATCGATGGAGACTTTTCTGAAGTTCAACACACTATCACTAACCAAACACATTTACAAAAGTGCATGCTTCCATAAGCAAGGGAGTACTGCTAAAGGACAACCCTGTTTTTCTGCTGGAGGACTGTTAAATTCACCTGAGAGGAATGTTTAATCCTTTTAAAGAATTACTGTTTAGATTTCCCAAACAATCTTTCTCCACTTAGTAACTGCTTGACTGCAGCCACTTTCACTGCCCTGTCAGCATCAGGGATGCATCAGCAACCCCCCAGAATCAGCAACAGGATTCTGGTGGGATTCAAGGAAACTAAAGACAGGAGTCTACTTAGTCATAAGACACTTGCAGAGGACCTGCAGAAAGGCAGAGGGCAGCTGTCATAGTCCTCTCTCTGACTTACACAAAAAGATGGATTCACCCACCTGGTAAACTGTCGACTTTCCTCATGTACTTCCATTTCTGTGCTTTTAAATTCATTCAGTTCTTTCCGTATTGCTGCCTAACAAACAATAATGATATATGCAACTGTAAGAAACATGAAGAAAAGAGTCCACGAGGAATCTGGCCCTGCTCTTGCAGGTTCAAAGTTCTCACACATTTCTGATCATAATTATGAATGACTTCTTTTCACTTACAACTATCTGTAGCAGTAACACACCAGAAAGAAGATCAAAACATCAAACAACAACAAATAAAGAAAGATAATATCTACTGCAGCAGGCAAGCCAATCCCCCAGTGCAATATGGCACTTGTTACATGCAGTAAAATGATAAGGGACTCTGTCACGTCACCAGTCACCTATTGAGTATGCATCTGCAAGGGAACTGTATCTCTGTGCACAGCCCCAGAGGAGCTGATGAGTGATGCTCCCTGCACAGTAATTGTACAAATGGCAGGATCCTCGCATCTCTCCCTGAAGACAGAACTTCAAGGATGCAAGATGAATAGCACTTTTTAAGTGCGAATTAGTCACTTGGTTTGCTTAATTCTATGTAAAATTGCACAAAATATTTGGACATTTCACGCTTTTAGTTGGCAGATACTAAAGAACAACATAAATTCAGTGCACTTCACAAATGTCAGTCCTTGTTGCTTATGTTAAAAGAACAACAAGCAATTTACTTCATCAGGTAATACATATTATTTCTGAAAAATTCTGATGTATACATTACATGTGGAACACAACACCAAGGGATCAGACCTAGCCAGTATGTCTTCATGAAAGGCAGCTCCTGTTTAAGCAACCTGATTTCCTTTGGTGACCAGGAGACCTGCCTATTGAATGAGGAAAAGGCTGTGGATCTACCTAGACTTTAGTCTAAGGCCTCTGACTCTGTCTCCCACAGCACAATCCTGCAGAAGTCCATGGCTTGAACAGGTACACTTTTCACTGGGTAAAAAAACCAGCTGGGGGGCCAGGCCAAAGAGTGGTGTTGAATGGAGTTAAATCCAGCTGGTGAGTGGTCATAGGTGGTGTTGCCGTGGGTCAGTACTGGGGCTGGACCTGTTTATTATCTTTATTGATGATCTGGATGAGGATTGAGTGCACCCTCAGTAAGTTTGCAGGTGACACCAAGATGGGAGGAAGTGTGGATCTGCCTGAGGGTAGGAAGACCCTACAGAAGGATCTGAATAAGTTACATTGATGGAATGCTACAGGCTTGGGGCAGAGTGGCTGGAAAGGTGTGTGGTAGAAAAGGATCTGGAGGTGCTGGCTGATAACCAGCTGTGCATGAGTTAGCATTGTGCCCAGGTGGCCAAGAAGACCAATGGCATCTTGTCTTGTAGTGTGGTCAGGACAAGGGAGGTGATTGTCCCCTTGTGCTCAGCACCGGGGAGGCCACACACCTCAAGTACTATCGCCCTACAGTCAATCTTATGATGAGTGGCTGAGAGATTGCTTAGTCTGGAGAAGAGGAGGCCCAGGAGAGACCTTATCACTCTCTACAACTGCCTGAATGGAGGATGTGGTGAGGTGGGGGTTCTCCCATGTAACTAGGGATAGGACGAGAGGTAATGGCCTTAAGTTGTGCCAGGGGAGGTTCAGGCTGGATATTTGGAGAAAGTTCTTCACAGAGAGGTTTTTGATGCATTGGAACATGCTACCAGTGGATGTGGTGGAGTCACTGTCCCTGGAGGTACTCAAGATGTAGATCTGGCATTGAGTGACATGGTTAGTGGGTATGGTAGGGATGGGTCAACAGCTGGACTCAATGACCTTAGACGTCTTTTCCAAACTTTATGCTTCTTTGATACTAGAAAGCCTTTTGTATCTGTGACAAGTTATTTTCCACATTCACTGCTAAATAAAATGTCAGTTTATGCTTGCTTTCTCTTTTCCCTATTTTAAGTAAAAAGCACTGTCATTTCATTAATCTCTAAAGAAATCTCATCTGGCATGCATGCCTTTCAATGAAGAACAGACATACAACATGATAAAATTACAGCATCACCAGACTCGTAAATGAAAAACTTCATTTTAAACAGGGTATGGTTCCAGTTAGCCACAGCAGCATGCTTGTACGAGGTTGCTGCAATAAGGAAAGAGAGAGAGTAATTTCTGACCACCAAATCAGTAGCAAAGACAACAGAGCTACAGCTCCATAATATTTTTACAGTACTATTTTCTGTTCCCACTGGAATTAGAAAAATTACTTCCTTGGGAGAAAAGGGCAGGGAGTTTCCAGACCCGGGGCCTTTGCCTTTCTGCTGAGGCCAATGAGGATCACAGAAGCAACCTTCGACATCTGTTCATTACAAAATGAGCTGAGATTAAAAAAAACATCCTAAATTAGATAGGAAACTCACTGCTTGTTCTAGGAAGCTTACCCAGGTTTCCTGGGAAGATGGGCTTCAATGAAAATGGAGATGCTGGGTGCTCTATTCTCCTACAGACTATTTGAAGACTAGAGAGGGCTCAGCCCCTCCCAAGGTCAACATATAGAAACATGGTTGGGAACACTTTCAGTGTCTCCACCTTGATGACATGAGATTCACTCCTTGATTGTCAGATGAACTGACATAAATACTAAAATACAAGCTGAAATCAATTCAGTGCTTCACAGTCCTCAGCTGGAAAACAATGGATTCTTGTACAAATCACTTTTCATGCCAAGCACAAGTCAGGATTTCAATGAAAGCTGGTTCAAATCCAGTACTAAAAGGACCAGAACTTTTTGATATGTAAATCCTGCTGCTTTCCTCTTATGAAGTGATGCAGGAAGAAAACTGAAGAGTTTGATTTGTCTTTTAGAATAGAATCACAAAATAATTTCTCTTATTCTTCGTAGTTATGCAGAGAAACTATTTACTGCTGTATGTCTGGGGCAAACTTCCAAAGGACTGCTGCACACATAAATTTAACTTCAAGAATAATAGCTCTGACCAGGAGTCCTTAGAAAGGAGGAATAGCTTCTAGTTTTTTCACTTGAATGAACTGCAAAAGTGATCCTAATGCAGGATTCTGCCTGCAGAGACCTTGCCTGAACTCCAAAGATCAAGTCTCTTTGCCAACACTGTGTGCCTGGCTTAGCAAGGATTTAAAAGTGCAAAGAATTTCGGCCTGAGCTGCCGTAACAGTGCTAGCAAATGCACTCTTAATAGGCACCTGGATGAGTTTTCTTAGCTGCAAGCAGTAAATGCACAGCACCATGACAATATCATTGCCTCCAGCAGATGTCATTCATGATGCTGGCACCAAGAAATTGCAAATCAGAGAACCCAACCAAAAGGAAAGATGTAATCATTTTCTTATAATCTACATTTGCCCCTTGCCTTGTCTGCAGGAGTTAACCTGGCCCATGGCTTGTCAGCACGACGGTCATAATCCGGAGAATCTGTAACCTCCACGTACTCATTAAACCGTAGGATTCGTCTTGCTTGAAGTTCAGCCACCGTAGGCCTCAGGCTGAGCTGTACGAGGGAGGCAGAAAATAGTATGCTTAATAAGACAAAATAAAAGAAAAGCCGAGAATAGGATGTCGTCTCTAGAGGACTTTAATGGTGTTTCTAAATAGGGTCACTTTCAGGTGTCTAAAAAAAGGTGCTACCCCGGGAGCAGTGCATGGGAATGGGGGAGCAGCACAACCTAATTTCTTCAATTATAAAAATAGTCTTTATCAGGCGGGTCACAGAGAATCCTGACAGTTATCCCTGGAATATTAATTGTGACTTTGCAACTGTTCACCCCACTAAATGAGTAAATGAGAGGTCCTTCTGCATCAACAATTAGATAGTCTGTGTGTTCAGCTATAATACAGAAAATAAACAGTTTACAGAGGGACCTGCCTAACTAAAAAACATACATTTTTTTAACAAAAACATCTGGGGGTCAGATGTTCTGTTTTAGTCATTATGATGCCCAGGCACATTGTTCCAGTCATCTCAATAAACATTCGCTTTAACTAAGGACAATCACATTCAGGAAACAAAATACTACCAAGTGTACTACTGAAGAGAAGGGCAGATGAGGGAGATGTACAGAAACTTTCCCCATTCTCTTCCAGAATGAGCTCCCAGAACTAGAAAAGCACATCCACTACTTTATTATTTTATTTCGCTTTACTTTACTTTTATTTTGCAGGGACAATGAGCAGAATCCCGCCTGGAGCAGCCACAACTGCTTGATGCAGTCAGGAGAAGGGTGAAAGGATGGGCCCACACAGCTTTGTTGCCCTCTTTGCTGCCCTACGTAGCTCTTGAACATATTGAACAGCAGTGGTCATACTTGCAGAGGAAACCCCCAGGTAACTTCTTTCCCTTGATTACATAGACAAATATTAAGCGTGGCCAGATTGTATGCTTTCCCAAGGTATAGGAAGTTGGAACAAATGGCATTTCCTCCTAAAAGGATATTGGCTTGTATTGCTCTTTAAACAGATTTCTAATCTGGAGGCATGACTATTTGCAGTAATGTATGTCCACTGATTATTCAAGTCTTACAAAAAAATAATCCTATGTACACAAAAGTACAATACAAAAACTTATGTCATTACCTTTCTACTGAGTCTACGTTTTATTTCTCTTTTGGCTTCCTGTTCTTCTTCTTCATTCTTCTCTGTTTTTAAAAGAGATAAAAAGCAGTGAACATTTAAGCATTATATCAGCACATACTTATTTCTCTTGGTTGAAAGCTTCAGGACTTCAAGTTTTGGCTCGCATTTCCTCATATTTTATGGTGATCCTGCATGCATTCTCTGCTTTTTGATTCTGTGTGCTCTCATTTCTTTTTCATAGCCTAATTTCCCTGCAATTCTGCAGACATACTGAGTCACCATGATGGATCAGGAACATAACAAAGACGAGGCTTCTGATGTTTCCTTTCTGCAGAACAGCAGGCAAGAAGTATCCTGAAAAAGCTGTCTAATGTTTCAATTACTTGAATGGGAACAGAATAAAATTACACGTGCATTTTCTGAAAGCATTTGGGCATGACAATGAAACAAATTATTAATACATTTCTGAACTAACCAAATCTGGTTTCTTAAGTGTCGGTGACAAGAACGTTAATAAGGGCATGTTCAGATGGACTCAGCATCTTTTTAAATTGATGCATGTTCTGAAGAACATTACTGGCATTATTGGTCCACGTCACGTCACCTAGAAATATCTGCAGCATTCTGATTCTGGTTTAGTCAAAGTTAGGGGTTGTGGATTCCAAGGTGTGATTCCAAGTTAACTACAAATTTAAAGTTCATTTGACCATTGTGGACACAGCCAACCAGTATAGACAAAAAGGCACTTTTAAATCCTGGTGTGGCTCTGCTATGGCTAATCTGCTGTATTAGTATAGGTAACCTGGCTGCAAAGTGGTTTCCATGTTGTGGCAGGTATACTGGGGGTAACACCACGACAGGTCACCTTGTGGTACTTGCACGTGTTCTTTGCTGACTTGAAGGTGCTCATGTAAGAAGAAACAAGGGAAAGGGGAAGAGGGAAAAATGATAAAAAGGCAAAAAGAATAAAGTGAAGACAGTAAATAAAAGGCAATGCCAGTCCAAGAACTGCTTTAGGAGAAGATCCCAACCCTAGATTTCCATCAGCAAGATGCACTCATACAGGCCTGTGGCCAAGATTAGCCTGGGTCTGCTGTTGATAGTGATTTTATTAAAATATTAAAATGCAAATATAGTTCATGGTTTATCTATAGCTTTTCTCCTAAACTACAAATAAATGGATGGCCTGTTTCCACTAAGGAACTGTATACTGACAAAAACTAAGGAATGCAGACACAATATACTGTTATTTGGAGACTTTTGTTTAAACATAATGTCTTTGCTACCAATAGACACGATAACTGAGGTAATTAGACACACATTATGTTGTAGGGTTCCATTCAGCTGTGATTTGCTTGACATATAAATTTTTGTCCCCATGAGTCACTTTAGTCCTACCTCCTATACAGAATATGCAACTGCATATGTGCATCACTGGATACACATATATGCAGTTACACATTCAAGTTTTTTACTTCTAGAAAGAAAACTCAAGAGCTAAAGAAAAAGGACTGAAATCTGGTGGCTGCTGTTTGTTAGCATTTTGAATCCATTGTTTATGGCACTGACAACTCCCCCTCATTCCTGCAATACCTGGAATCGAACATCTCCAGACTGCTGAGTGGAACAGCACTGCAGAAACACTGCCTTGATACAAATTCTTACTAACACTTAAAATGTGATTTGGTCTTTTAAAGTAGAAGTTTTGCTGCAATGATACAAGAAGATGCACTGCACCAAAATATGAGTACAGACTGGGAGAAGAATTCACTGAGAGTAATCCTCTGGAGAAGGACTTAGGGGCCCTGGTGGACAGACAGCTGCTCTTACAGCCCAGAAGGCCAACTGTATCCTGGGCTGCATCAGAAAAGGGGAGGCAGCAGGAAGAAGGAGGTGACTGTCCCTCTCTGTTCTGCCCTTGTGAGTTCCCACTTGCAGTACTGCATCTAGTGCAGCACAAGAAGGATCTGGAGCTGTTGGGGCAGGTCAAGAGGAGGGCCACAAAGATGATCAGACGGCTAGAGCACCTTTCTTATGGAGAAAGGCTGAGGAAGCTGGGATTGTTCACTCTGGAGAATATAAGACTCTGGGGAGACCTCAGTGTGGCCTGCCACCACTTGAGGGAAGTTTATAAACAGGAGAGAGATTGACTTTTTACGCAGCCTGATGGTGACAGGACGAGGGAGAATGGCTACAAACTAAAGGGGGGGAAATTTAGATTAGATATTAGGAAGACATTTATCCAGAAGGAGGTGAGGCACTGGAACAAACTGCCCAGAGAAGTTATGGATGCTCCATCCCTGGAAGCATTTAAGGCCAAGCTGAATGGGGCCCTGGGCAGCCTGAGCTGCCACCATAGCAGGGTGGGTTAGAACTGGATGGTCTTTAAGGTCCCTTCCAACCCAAGCCATTCTGAGATTCTATGAATGCACAAAAAATAATGGGGCTCGTGGTCTTTCAGGTATTGCAGAAAATCCCACCCAGACACCAAGTGATACCTGCAGGTATAAATTGACTCACTCATCCAAACAGGAACTCAGTGACACAAAGAAGCACCCTTCTGACTGGTTTTAGTCAGTTTTAAAAGCAGATCCGATCTGTATGAAGTGGAGAAAGAAAGCATAAACACAGCGTTCCCAGCTGCAAGTCCCCTCAAATATCCTGCTGCTGAACTGGCAAAGCACCAGCTGAGCAATCGCCTTTCTCTTGCATAATCTCTGATCAGGCCCCAGCAAGCTGGGGCTTCCCTCCTTCCCTTCCTGCAGCTCCTAGGAGATGCATAGGCACACAAGTCAAATGGGGATTTGACTCTGCAGTGAAACCATTTTATTTAGTGTCATGGTCTCTGAGTTAAAAAATCCAATGATAAACTTAGAAGAGCATCCCTGGCATCTGCACATTATTGCTTCTGCAACCTCTACCATATTAAATCCAGTCACCTTTCTCTTCTGTGGGACATCTGCTTCATAGCAGAGAGGGGCAGAGGGGGAAGAGAAGAGAGGAATTGCTCTGCCTGAGGACTGTCCTGGTCTTGACCAGAAAGCACTCCAGGAGCGTGAAACCAAACTTTCCACTGTGTCCCTGTGGGGATTAGCTATGTTTAGAATTTTCTGTGGGCTCGCTAAGGAAAGAGAAAGAAAAGACAAACAAAGTGCTTGCCTCTTGAAATGCTGCGGAATGCAAGAAGCAGCTTCTCTTTCCTGGTTTTAAAAGCAAAGATAATCATTAATATCTCCTAACAAGTACCAAGGGCTAAACCCTGCTCTTTACAAAGCCAGCACTGACAAGTGTGCAGGTGCACAGAACAAGAACTTCACTGTCCTTTATAGATACAGGAAAAAATACCATTATCTTAATCCAAAACTCCTGGAAGAATAAAAAGCTTCTTTGCCACAATACTATAAATACTACTAGCTCAGAGCTGTCTGTATTAAAAATACAGGGCTTTATCTATTCCTTCAAGTGGACTCTTGAGTTATCATAACTTTGTTTTAATGTGGGAAGACTCAGAAGCCTGGATAGTTTTATCCGAATTGTTTTTACAGAAATCAGCCTGCAATGTCTTGCCATTATATCCACAAAATTTTTAGTAACTCATTTATCTGGTAATATTATCAAAACAAAACTTGCAACATTGATTTCTTCACTTTAACTGGAAATACAAAAAAAGAAAAAATAAGGACTTTTCCTGAAACTCTTTAAGGATTTGGCTTGAACTTAAGCCTGAAATAAACACTTGGAACTTTGCCACTTAATATAATCTCTAATTCTGATAAATACCACTCAAAACAATAGTTTCCTTTAGTTGCAGTTTACATATGAGCAATAATATAACCTCTTCTCCCCACGCACTGCGTAAAAATAGGAGGAAGGAAGCCTTATGAAAGAAACCCCCACTTACTCACAAAAGTTACTTACAACAAGAAAGGCATCTAAGACATGTAAACATTTTTGAATGATCCTCTGTAAGGGAATGTAACCGTTTTAATAAATAATATGAAAGTTTTAGAGCTGAGAAAGAACTTGCAGTCTCAAAGGGCTCCGGCCAGACTGCCATCACAAACACTGTTTTTTCTTGTATTTTGCTTTGCTTTTTAAAGATTAACTTGAAATATTTTATATTTCTGCGATGAGCAAAAAGCAGATTAAGTGTCTCAGCTTTCTTTTTTTTTTGCCATTTATAAGTCTGCATTCACAGAATCATGGCTTAGGCTCCAGCATTTCTTTTTGCTCTCCCTTGTCCCTTTCAGGAAGACAAGAGGGAATGATGGCATGATACTGAGGAAAAGAACAGCAAAGAGGCATTGAGTGCAAAGCGCTGTACTCTACCAAAAGCATCAATAAATAAGTTGAAACAGGGGTAGAAATCTAATAACTACTTTCTAGTTTTGAGATTCTTATTGCAAAATCAGTGCTCAGAATAAATAATGTTAAAAGCGACGTTAAATACACTATGGGTATGCTGGTAGTTCAGTCATCTATGGATTAGCTGGACAGAGAAGTCCAGCTGGTGTTCCCAGCTCAGTAACCGTATCCTGGACCACCGAAGATGTTTCTGAATTACTTTTCTCACGTAGTTCAGGATGAGCTGCTTTTTACTTAGAATACTTCCGTATTTCACAATTTATTATGACTACGTGATCTACAGGTTAAGAAATTATGCTCTTAGAAAGTCCATACCGTTATGTATTGGACTGGAGACCCTTAAGCCCTCTTTTGTGCACCATAATGCATAAATAGTAGCTTCTGCTTTTCAGTAGGACATGACACTCTTAATTTACAAAGCTTCCACAGAAGCAACATAATTTTATTAGCACAAACAGTTGCCTAAAAGCCAATAATTTGTACTCCTCCCTGATTTGTTGGCTTGACCACATGACAGCGATCAGCTGTCATGAATTTTGTCCACTTTCCGAACTCTGCCCTTATATCCCACATCCAGCTCGTACTGATATTCCCCCTCCCTCCTCAGAAACACTAGGTGAAAGTTTAACCACCCTAGAACTACTTATAAGGGTATCTAATGCATTCCCAGGCTTTGGGACCAGCTTCAAGAAGTGGGAGGGTGACAAGCAAAACTCAGCATCTTGAATGTATGCAATTTTTACAGCTACCATTCTAGGTTAGTATACAAGTCTAGTGTTGATATATTATTTTCAAGAACATCAATTTTTTCCAGTTACGGATCTAACGTGAGAGTAACAATGATCAGGCTTCCATATGAATCCAACATGTGCTGTTCTCAATTTCTAAGTAAATACCAACTTAAAGCTGAATAAAATACTTACGCTTCAGGATATTTCTCTGCTCTAGCTCTTCAGTTGTAGGCCTCTGGCTAAGTCTCCTATAAGAGCAAAATAAATGGCTCATTTAGAATCTAAATCACAACTTACAATTTGAAAGGCTGCTTATGTCCTTCTTATACAGCCATTGTCATAAAGCTATGTGGAGGTATTCAACAACAGGCAATTTCTATTCACAGTTATAATACTAGTGCATGTAACTTCCACACTGAGTAGGCATTTAACATTTATATTCTCTTGAATACAGAAGTGATACTTGCACAGTACTAGAGAAATTGCACCAGCAAATTTAAATTTCTCATTTACAGGTGTAATTTTATGAAAGAATATATACACGTCTTTTGTCCCTAGGCATTCTTATTATGATAAGTCGTGCAGTCATAAGATTGTTCTCGGGTATTCTGAATGCAAAGGCTATTCTGTTTTTCAGCACAAAAATTGCATGCTGCAGATGTCTTAGAAGTTGGAAGTTCTTGTGGCCTCTGCTCCACAAACCCCACACAGTTCACTATAGATCATCTACAGCTTCAAATTCAGAGAACCCTTAGCACATTCGCAACACCTGCATACAAAGGGGAAGACCCGGGGGATACTCATCACCATCAAATGGAAACTCCACACTGCAGGAGGTTCCTGACCCAACACTGGCTGCACTGTGGGAACAGGGTTTCTGCTGCTTTCTGCCACCTTTCCACCATATCTCTGCTGCCAGGTGCTAACCACAACACTAGGAATTTTAAAATATGATGCCATAATCTTGGTCATAATCTCAGACCTGTGTGCAACCCTAGTATTGCAATGCACACCATAAGCTTTTCATGCCTGTTATTGCCTATCACTGAATATGGCTACATGGTAAAGGTGCCAGCTGGACAGAACTGGCAATGCCAGACAAGAGAGTTCAGGGTAGGAATCAAAGAGCAGCTTGTTCAGCATCAGCCCCACGGGAAATACAGATAAGTGGGATGTGATTACCAAAGCTGGAATCTGGTTAGGAAAGCAGTGATAACAACCAGGCTTCTTTATTAGCAGAAGAAAAATGTCCCTCAGGCCCTATGAAGATGTATCCCTCTTATAACTATGAAATGAAATAAATTAGTTGGTCATCCAGTTCACAGAGCACTTCAGCCATGTGCTGAGTGCTGGGGCCAGGCTGCTGTGCTTTTGTACTGGAGGAGAACTGGCTGCACTGCCCAATATCTGGAAATCTCTAACAAACGCAGGACATCCTCCAAGTCTGTCTGGATAACATTTTCGAGCGTAAGAGAAACAAGAAAAGGCCTGGGAAAACGTAGACATATTGTAGTCTCTTCTCAGAGAACTATAAAAAACAGAATTAACACTTCAGAGGATTTTTCTTAAGTTTGTAAATACAGGTGATTTTGTTCTTCTTTTTTTCATGCAATATCTTAAGTCCTTATCTTAAGTTCTGTAGGGGTTTAAAGTATGAGGAAGATCCTCCTCAAAGGTGAGGTGAGCATAGTAGTAATCTACAGAGTCAGTCTATGTTAATTTCTTTTGTTGGAATCAGAACACAAACATTTTAGAGAACAGGGAAAGCGGGAAGGGACAGAAAGGAGGAACTTGCACAGGCATACTCCATGTGTCCGAAACTATAGCTCTGACTGAGAAGGGGATATGTAAGCTCAAGTCCCTGCTAATCACAGAGCCTTTTGAGTTGGAAGGGACCCCTTAGTGGTCATGTAGTCCAACTCGGTAAAGCCACATTTACTCTGCAACTGATACCTCACAAGCTTCGTTCCAATCTGATGTCTGATTTCCTGCCTCTCCTCTTCAGATGTACGCTGCAGGATGTTTTTGTCTTCTAATTCTTTCTTAGATGGTCTGTTGCCAAGTTTGATAGCAAGAGTATCCCTACGACGAATTTTACTTGCCAAAGAGCCTGAGGAAGGAAGAGGAGGGTGGATTTAGTTCATTCATGCTTAGGTTACAGACACAAACCAAGTAAGGACTTTAATACTTCCCCAGAGCAGCCTTGTTCCCACATGCAGGAAAGGAATTTTAATTAACATCAAAAGGAAAATAGTTTCAATTCAGCTCACAAAAATAAAAAGTTGGAAGACTTGGTTGAAAAAGCTAACAGACAGAACAATAGAAGAATTTTAGAAGGATCATTCATTGTCTGTGAAGTGATAGGGCAAAAATGACAAATCCACATTTACATATCTTTGAAGTATGATACATTACAAGTTGATTTATTTACCTACTCAGTGCAGTTTGCAAAATGCTGCTCTTTTTCTTAAGCTTCTAAAGGTTTAGCCTCACTGTCTCATCATGCCCCTCTTCCTTTTTTTTTTTTTCTTACTCATGTCACTTAGTTCTTGCATAGTGCTTTCTATCTTTAACTGATTTGTTAACTAAAATGAAAAATGCAATTTAGAAAAATGCCCTAAGTGCTTGTAAAGTATTCTAGGCAGCAGCCCCAGGCACTGAAGCAATCTCTGTCAGTAGGACAGATATAGTAGGGACAACAGCCATGCAATTCTGCTAGCATTAGCATTAGCCAGCTCTGGAAGCAGTTTTGTTGTTCTGTTGTCTCTTGATATTCTGAGGGGGCTACACACATCCAACAGTGGCAGACCTTGTCACACCCTCTTCTTTTCCTGAACCTGCTCCCCCCATCTCCATTCCTACCTGCTTAAACTGCATGGGCCTCAGCAAGTTTTTGATCACAACTGTCTGAGAGTGGAGAAGCATTTACCAGCAGTGGAAAACTTAGCTATCATTCCTTGAAGCCATATGTGCCTCTTTTCACTTTGCACTAACAGGTGTCAAGCACGCTCATATGTAATACATAAAACGTAGGGAGCAACTGCTTGGTAAGATGCCCTGCAGCAACACTGCATCTTGGAACAGAATCACCCACGGAACGATGTGCTTGCTAAAAGCTCTGCCCTAGTCTTTGCTCTCCTGCAGCTCATAACTAAACAGGGTCAGCTACACAAAACTCACTTGGATGTAGGTGTCTTAGGTCTGTGTGCAAGCAGTGAGCTTCAGTTTAGCAATCTAGCAACCACAGACACTCAACAGGCCCTCTGAGCCAGCCAAAGACAAATGTATACACCCTGAGGAGGTCACCCCTTCCCCAGTACGCTCCTTTTGTTAGGGGCTTACTTTCAGCACTCGCATTATCATCATCATCGTCGTCATCATCGTCATCTGTGTAAAGTATGGGCCCATCAGAATCAGAGTCACTGCCGTGGCTCTCTCTGCTGCTTTCACTCTCAGCAGCAGCAGCAGCATCAGAAGTCTTCTCTGCTGGTTCAGAGTGAGTCTGGCCAGCTGCCTTCGCTTCTTGGTTGTCTTTGCTAGCCAAGCTGTTAATTCATAAACAGACATGATGTTACATTAATTCAAGCAGCACGGAACTCAAATGGGAGATGGACTATAAAAGCAAAAATGAAAATAAAAGTTCTGTTGTTCAAACTAACTTCTGTTTCTAAAATCATATGGATGTACAAGCTATGCAGTGCATGTGTATGCACATGGGTGTACATACCTATATGTGTGTAAGTATGTCAGGAAGAAAGATAGGGTCTGAAATGATGAGCTGCAAAGTTTGAATAAATAAACATCACTGTTCTTGCTTATTTCTTGTGCAATGGGACTACTAGTAAATAAAGGGTAATGAGAAGAGAAAAGCAGCTCATAAAGTTGAGGGTAAGAGGAGTGAGTCAGAGAGCAGGCAGGATTGCAAAGCTTCCTGTTCTGGATGAGCAACTGTATTTACTGCAAATACAGTTTTATTACTGATGAGAGCAAAATGTTCATTTCCATCACTGATGAACATGGAAATGAGCAGCAGTGTCCATTTGCCGTGGGAAAATCCTTTTCATAAACGAATGTGTGAACGAGCAGAGACGCAGCACAGGAATGTAATACTGGCACAGATGTACCAGCAAGACCTTCTCTATCTAAAGGAAATTCTCTAGGCCACTGGCACCTTTGACTAAATCCTCTTGGGTTGTTACGAAAGACACTGGTTCTTTTGACAGGGAAAAGACAGATTAAGATCAGTCATTTTCTTGCTGTCAACTATTTTGCTTAAAAAATGTAATTATGAACTTGTTCTTGACTAGATTTTATAGTATCTGAGACTAAGAAAAGGTATTGGGCAGTGGTAGACCAAATATTTACTAACTGAATTCTAAAACTGTCATTAAGCTCACAAGTAAATTCAGCTACTGAATTGAGAAGTTTTAGCAATGAGATATGTAATGATATCTACAAAAAAGTAAAACAAAACCAAAACAAACAACCTCATAATTCAGTATCCTCTCTTGTTTGCTTTTATGAGAGAGAAATGAAAGTATTATCTGAGACTAGCTGAGCAGTTGCACACAGGGGTCTAATTCACAGAATCACAGAACAGCTTGGGTTGGAAGGGACCTTAAAGCCCACTCAGCCCCAACTCCATGCCATGGACAGGGCTGCTACTCCCACATAGGCTGCCCAGGGCTCCAACCTGACCTTGAACACCTCCAGGGATGGGGCACCCAGAGATTCTCTGGATCACCTGTGTCAGTGCAACAAGGCAAGCTGTATTAAGCCAAGCAATAATGTACTTGGCACATGATGAGAAATGACATCTCAGGGGAAACCTTCGGTACTGTGGTGGAATGGCTCTAAAATGCAAAGAACAAATTGTGCTGACATGCAATGTAACACTAGAAACGTGGCTCCCTCAGCTGTAGGCTTTGCTATTTTTTAATAACAACAATGACTTACCAATGACCATCTCACCTTTTTGTCTCCTCTCCACTAGCATCTGGACCACTGTCTGGGGTTGTACTGCTCAAGCCCTCATCCGCGCCTCGCTCAGCCTGGAGAAGAGGTTTACTATCTGATCCAGGAACGGATGGATCTTGGGCATCTGAAGACACAATGAGTTGACCAGCTGCAGAAGTAAAAGGAGGTGGAGGTGGAGGTGGGGGTGGAGGAGGAGGAGCAGTGATGGGAGGAGGGGGAACAACCAGCTTGCTTGGTTCGCCTACATCCTCTGTTTCAGAAATTACACTGGAAGGCTCAGGCTCAGATTTTTCTGCCTTCACTTCCAACTTGTTGGTAGTGGCACCTGAAGGGGAAGAGGCAGCCCCATCTGGTGCCGTTCGTGGAGCTGTTTGTTTCCCAGGCCTTTTCTTGCCCCTGGGAGTTCCTGATGTGCCTGATTTGCTGGAAGTCTCTTTAGAGGCTTTGGGATGAGATGATGTGGACGAAGTAGATGGTGATGAAGAGGACTTGGAGACTGGTGTTTTTTTAGCATGTGAAGCACTAGCTAAAATAAGAAAAGAAAAAGCATTTTGCAGTCTTGTAACTGTACAATTCTTGCATCTTTTTACGTTAGTTGACTTTTGTGCTGATACTTTAAAAGAATGAAAAAAATGAGATTTCTATAATCCTTCACCTATATGTTTGAGATGAGTAAATACTGAACACTATGATTTTCTGTACATCTTTCAGTGGACAAATCAGGATCCCTGTGGGCATCAGTTAATCACATTTCACAATGTTCTTTGAAGTTGTGTGTTCCAAGCAACAGAGGGCCATTAAAACAAGATGTACTTTTGAGTTCAGCTGGGTACATCCATTTAACAGAAGCAGAAACTACTGATCTCATTCTGCATAAATGATCTCCTGAAGCAAAGAGGCACTAAAGACCTCCTGTATGTACTGAAGCTCTTAGTCTTGCCAGTGACCAACTCAGTTAGTATTGAAAACAAGGTGACACAAGACTTTAACACTAGTTGCTGATTAGTAAGTAATGCTGCTGTCTGCCGCTGTGATACTTACTATATTGAAACACACATGGACAGTGTGCAAGATTGCAAGAGAGATCAGGTAGACTGGTATTCCCATTTGCATTCCAGTCACATTTCTGGCTGCTGTGTTGAAACAGCCATCATCTGGACTGGGAGCTTCAGACTTTGAACTTACATTTAAAAAGCAACAAAAAAGACAACCATCTTACAGGCCTATAAGCATTTAAATAAAAACAAAATCCGAGCAGATTAGGATAGAACCAAAATACAGACATCCACTCCAATAAGCTCATGGTACAAAAATAGCTCTCACGGTGATGCTGCTCTCAGCCTCAAAGAAAATGGAAAATAATTCAAAAAACACATTATACCGTTCTCTTCTGCAGGAGAACGTTATGGTTTATAAATGTTTAGAGAGCTGTGCGGCTTTCAGTACATCTGCAAAATCTGCAAAAACTCATGGCTTCAGGCAAATCACTGTCCTTATGTGCTACGAGGCCACTCTACAGGGCACAGTCCAGGACCTATTGATACTTGCTCTTATCAGTCACATCCACTACAAATCACTGACTTCACTTACCAGCAAATCAAAAAGAAACAAAGAAATGTTATAAGCAACAGTTCATAATTGCAGTGGAAATAAATAGCGGCTTCAACCTGCATATTACTGAGCAGAAACCTTACTGAGTAAGTGGATGGTACTAACAAATGGCTCTGGTTCTGATTCAGCAAAGCATTTAAACATAGGCTCCAATCAATGAAACCAAGTTATGTGCCTAACCTCAAGAACTCCAGCACAATACAAATACACAGCCACACTATAATTATTACTGGGAAAAGTTAAAAAGATGTTTCCATTGAATGAAGCCTTACATTGTTCTTGGAACCCTTCTGGTCTTGCAATCAGAAACAGAAAGAATTCTCCCAGAGAAATTCTCCCCACACTTTGACTCAAGTCAGTAGTGCTATTGCTATTATTGCTTTAAACTGGGCTGGTTAACAATTTCCTATCAAGTACCTTTTTCAGTAGAAAACTTAGATTTTGATTACATAAAAAAGCTGATGAACATTATTCAACTTTGTGCAAACATTCATGGTTATGTTAACACTCCTCCTAACTCCATTATTTCAGTTTGGAAATCTGTTGAGTAACTTCAGTTCCTCATATTCCTGTTCTCCTTCACCAGACTGGATCACTGTATTCACTTTCACGGGGATGTGGTAATCCTCAGGTATAAAATATCACTCCCAATCAGCTCTGTTTATTAAGTATTGCAGATGAAAACAATATACCCAACACTGAAAGAAATTATTGGTAGAATATGTGCTATTTTGTACAAGGGGCATGTTGATATATTTTATATCCATATGGTCTCAAGTATCACCTGTAATTTCAGCAAGGCTACTAAAAGACAAATCTGGAATTTGAATGTATTTTAATTTATGAACTGAGATATCTGAGAGCTTGTTACCAGTCAAAAGCCTAAACACTTTTCTACCCAGTGGGCTGTTCTGTTTCTGAAAGGTCTGCTGTTACGAGGTTCTTTCAGCTGAGAGTAACAGTTTTCCATCTGAAAGTGAAATACAAGCAGCAAATTCTGGGTTTTCAAAATGTTTATTCTTGTGGCCTATTGATGTAGACGGGACAGTTAATACCAAGTTAATAGGTAGTTTATGGCAAAGTTATTATTGTAACTTTAGCATTCTTGCAGTGTTTTCAAACAGTTCTCTTCTGTATGCTTCAAATACAACGCTTGCCAAAATGTACAAGTTATGAAGAAGTATACTTGGAGAGAAAACTGGAGGGACTGAAGGACTCTGAAAGACTGATAGAGGATTGAGAACACATGGTTTGTATAAGTTGGCCAATGCATATATATACTCAATTCATCGTAATATTGTTTACATTCAAATTATAATTGGATGATTTCATTTTGGGTGTTGTCTAAATCACAACCACTTGAACTCAAGATCAGTACCTTAGAACAGACAAAATCTAGCATAATTGCAGAATTTTGGTTAAAATGTGCAGTGATAAATACATCTGGTGTGTGCCTGATGACTGGCATTTTCCCTTTTCAGTGTATATTTACGATCACATGAAGTCATCAACAAGCTCAGGAAAGCCTGGCCATTTCTAAGCAGCTTTCTTTTTTCAGATAAAACAACTGCTACTCAATAATTTTTAAGGATATCTTCATGGTTTTGTTCTCTATCACTTTGAAAACTTGTAATCTTGTCATATTACATGGAGTAGTAGATACTTCCAGCAGGTTACAGAAAAATCAATAGATTTACTTTGGGGCAGTTCACATGTATTTGTTTTCAAAAGTCACCTCTTTCCTTGCTGATCCTTTGACAGTTCTCTGACTCATTTTATTTCCAGCACTTGCACGTCAACTGGGAATTCAGTATAGTCTCTGTTGTGCTTGGTGTGTGCATACATTTGTTAGACAGCAAAATGATTCATCTGGGGTGTTTGCAGACAGCAGAACCAGAGCTCAGTAAGATGTTAGCTAAAAACATCAGTGGCATGCTCTTTAGTAGCACAGTTATGTACAAAAGCAGAAGTCCTGGTAGGATCAAGCCCTCATGCACATGCACCCACCATAACTGGCACTGCCTGTGCAGTACTCACCAACTTCTCGATTTGCACTGTGGCTTGTTGGCTTGGGAGGCGGGAGAGGAGGCTGCTTAACAGGAGCCTTTCCCTTTTTTTTAGCATGAGGTGCTTCATTACTCTTATGGCTGGTGGTGGTAGAAGCAGCAAGAGCATTTTTTGGTGGTAGCGGAGCTTTTTTAGATTTAGGCTTAGGCTTGGGTAGTGGTGGAGCATGGGATGCAGTTATTTCTGGGCAGTGATCAGTAGTGTTCTCTACGGGTAAGAAAGTGAACAGAAGCCAACTGACACAGACACCACAAACATTCAACAGCAAGCTAGACAATGACTACTTTTGCTGCTTGATCTCTTGGGAATCAGGAGAGACTTCTTCACCTTTTCTCTCTTGTTGGATTACTACTTCAGAAAAAAAGAGAAAAAAAATTCCCACCTGTCTCAATTCAAGTTCTTCTCATTGAAGACTTTTGCCCAGCACTTCTCTAATTCTTATCTATTCTAGACTTACAAGGATCCTCTTTAGTATCCCAAACTAAATTGCTGCCAGCAAACTAAGCAAGGCAAATGCCTTTTTTTGCTAAAAAATTCCCTTAAATTTTTTCTAGTTCTCTGAGATCAATAGGCTATAAAACTCAAATTCACATGAATGTGAATGTAAACAAGGCTGTTCTCTCAGCCACAGGTTCAAATATGGCCATGCAAGCTGAAATTTTCCCCTGAAGCAACGCGTTTTCCTATGTTGCAGCCTGCTTGCTCACAAAAACAGCACCTTTATTTTGGGTATCTTCCCCAGGGTATTTCTACTTTTTAACTAAATTAAATAGGATGTCATTTGGCATGGGAATGCTCTTCCCTCCTGCAAGTCCTTTAGGTATTCATGTAGGACTGCAGTTTCAAGAATCAACAGTTACTCACTTAGCAGAAAACTGGACTTTATCCACATTTCACAGTCCAATAGGAATGGCTCTATAGAGTGAAACAAGTAACACAGGGGATCCAGTGTCCCTATCCTGTGCACTTCACAAGATTATACTTTGGAATAGCTTCAGGCTAGTTCTGTGGACTGCATATCCAGATGTGGAGGGAACACAACAAGTTCTTGAATGCAACTTTGTGTTTAATTTCATCCAAGGGAACCTTGTTTGTGTGCTCTGCAAATTGAAGACAGGTAAGTGGGAAGGATCTGGAAATTCACTTCAAAACAGCAACGCTCACGTAGTTGAGCCACTTATATGCAACTTAAATTCTGCAACACAAACTCTATGGTGTTGAGACTGTAGCTGGTAGCCAGATGGGAATCTTTCTTTATTCTGTCACACCATCTCTGTGTCCGTTTGGTCTCAAGACAGTCTTTCCACACCTCGCAGAAACAGGATTTTATAGAAGTAATAGCATACCATCAAAAGCATAAGAGCTTTACTTGCATGTTATTATGAACTACAATGGTCAGGGAATGAAGGAGCCAAGCACATATCAAAAAGAACTTTAAAGACTTCTTTTTTAGCACTTGAAAAGAAACCAATTCACTTATTTCAGTACATTCCCACAGGAGCCTCACTCTAACACACGTTACATGGCAGTTCCTTGCTCTCCTAGCCATTCCCTGCCCTTTTCCTTCCTATGTAAAAGATTCCCAAGAGATAAGCAGTATCTTTTCACTGTAAGATTAGTAGATGAAAAACAGAAACAAACATATTGGACAACATCAACATTCCTTATCTCAGAAACAAAGCCTTTTCAATCTCTAGTTAAAGGCTTGTTAACATGAACCTGATGCATCACCTCTGCAATTATTGAAAGCAACATGCACAAATAACTCTTTATCAACCAAGAGAATTAATGCTTAATAGTATTGTTCCCATTTATTTCCAGCCTATATTATCATAGGATAAACTGGTT